TACTTATTTAGACCTTGCTCCAAATATGGGGAAAGCGAGTGTTGAGTAAGGTTAATGGATCCCGGGTGGAAGCAGCCCCGCGTATGACGAAAGGAATCCTCACAACAATGAACATAAAGCATGTGATAATTCAAGCCGTAATATGAAAACGGTTGTATTCAAGATGGCTATAAGATATTGGCCAAAATTGTGCATGCATGCACTGCATTGAAATGAAAATGTTTATTTTTCCCCTTACATACATCAAGAAATATAACACACCACCACACTATTTCTAGAATGATATTACTTTAAAATGATACCTCGTTTATGGCATGTAAAAAGCTGGACGAAAATGCAGTGATTTTGCAAGGTCTGTCAATCACCACTCTTCAAGTAAGAATTGAGCATAATTTGAGAGAAAATGGTCAGACTGAGGGAGAGGACACACATTAATCACTTTCACCCAACAAGCAGCTGCTTCTCAACAGAGGTACATGACAAAAAGGACTGGAAGCCACACTGTTTCAGGACTGTACTGTGTATGATACAATATGGCTCTCACACCTTAGGAGGTGGATAGTATGAGTTGGTGAAAAAAAAGGAACAGAAACAGGAAGAAAAGACTGAGTACTGAGGCCCAAGGCAGGGACGATCCGCAGCATTAGATCCATCTCCGTCTCCTGTAGGCCCTATCACACTAGCACTTTTTCCGTCAATTTCTGGGGTTCCGTCTGAATCTGAGGCTTTCCGCCTCCCAGACCAAGGCGGTTACAACCGTTTCTGTCTGACTAATTTCCGTGTTGATCTTGTGTTATTAATAAATTAGATAGGATGAGTGAATATAAACGTAAGCTAATATTTTAGAACATTCGTAATATATATTATACATCATTATATTTCTTCAAAGTAACTTGATATGTATGAGAATGTTCATGTGATTCCTGGGACCTCACTGCGATAGCGCCATGTTTGTTTACACAATTTTCATACGGAGTTCATTCGGAAATGAAAAAAATAGACGGAAAAAGTGCTAGTGTGATAAGGCCTTAAGACCCCCAAAGCAACAACGGGCATAGGATTGGGGGATTAAACAGGGGGATACTGTGCCCAGGGTTCTCTGAGGTTGCTCTGGACTGACCCAAAGTCAGCCTTTTAAACATGACTCGAACATCTCAGTAAGTGAATAGGAGTTAAGGAGAAAGAGCGGAAAGGGGGAAAAGAAAAGACCCAGCAAAAATTTCCCCCTCATGACAACAATGGGCATGGGACTGGGGAGGGGGTCACATCTTGCGCAAGGTTAATAAGTATATAGACTTTGGTTACTCATGTGTGTGGTTTTCACATATTCTTATTCTAAATACATAGAAATTGGTAAAAAAACACATTCATTTTCCATTATTTTTATTCAACATGACATCACCCATATAGTGCTTGAAGGGATGGTTAGTCTTCATGAAACATTGGCTTACTGATAATTATCTCTGAGAGAGACCAACCCACCTCTATAGTAGAGTTCAGATACACTAGGCATCAAGGGCAAGAAATTTAGAAGTCTAAGGCCATCTCAGGATATATTATGAACATTTACATACGGTGGTATCCTCCTACGTACAAAAACAAATATTTAACATAAAACAAGCCTAGATATACATATATATAGCCCTTGTATGTAAGGCAAGAGTAATTGCTTAGCTATAATCACTGTGTATACTTGAACATGTGCAGTTGTGGTTATATATTTCTCAACATTTCCTGGTCTTCATTAGTGATATCTGGCAACAAAGGTATAGTGAGTACTGCAAATAACATTTTTTATGTATGGATGCAGACATTTATGATTAGTCATTACAAATGTGATGTGGGTTTGAGAAGTATTTGTCGGTGGTATACTTCAATCACCAACAAAAAATGTAATCACTGAAAACAAACATTACATACATAACACCAATTTCTCTCATCATACCTCATTTAGCATTAGGGTTATATTTCAGAAAAGCACAGCTTCAACTGAAATGGTATGTGAAATTTTTTGTCTGCTATTAAAGTACACTATAGTTCATACCTGTTGCCAACTTTTTGCCTGTCTGGTGCCACAGAAGTTTGAAATGTATTTTTTCACTTGCAAGTGAAAACAAAATAAAAGTTAACGACTCCATCAAACAGAGTTCAAGTGTATTAGACAATGGGGGAGACGAAGGAGAGGAAATACATCTGAATTATAGCACATGTTTAACAAAAAAATAGAAATTCACTGATATAGCTTGGTGAAACCATATTCATAGTATATATATAAGATATGACTTCACAGGGCTATACATCATCATGCCACAGCTATAGCCACAAAAAGATACAGAACCTTAGAAACTGTTAAGAAATCGAGTCAAGGCCATAGCAGGCATTCATTTAAGGATGATACCTCCTTTTGAAAGGGAACAGTAGAAGATACGAGTTATCCTTTGCCCTCAAAGACTTACATTGGATTTTAGACACATGGACTTAAGAAGCATAATAAATTCACATCATCTTCATTTCCATGCTTTTATTGTTTTTATATCTTACTAATTTCCCATTTTTGTTGATATAACTTACTAGTTCCATAAACAGATTACATTACTTATTATTCAATATTTCATTACAAAGACAATTTTTTCAGCTAATATTTAAGCTAAGATCTCAGGCATTCAATCAATATACTTTCGTTCATTAAAAAAGGTGCATTCATTCATTCATTAATCCTTTGCCAATGGGTGGCATGTACATACATGCCATGGCATGGATGGCCTCTTCTCCAGGTGGTATGTACACTTATGCTCCACATGCAGAGCCCACTAACATTGTTTGCACTAAACAATTGTTAGTTTGTTTTGCTACGGCCCTTCAACTGTAAGTTTGAAGTCGCATTTTAGCCTTCTTCATTGTATAATCATATATGCTATAGCCAAATGCATAGAAAAAGAGGGAAAGTTATATTCTCCTAATATTCCCTTGAGCAGCTGGATACACTTAGTGTGCATATATAGTGCATGAAGCTCCCATTGGCATTGGGTTAAAAAAAAAATCCTATTCCTATGTTGCCATCCATCCCTGATCCCAAAAGAGCGTTAAGAAACATATGACCTTGGCTGCACCTGTGAATTCACGTATGTCAATAATGAATATTATGAAATATGAGTAACATGGATAGCATGATCAGAAGCTTCTTTCCAAGTAAACTTGCTGACAACTGCAATCCCGACACAGATAATTAGTGGTGTTCACTAACCTGGTCAATGGCAGCTCTATTCTGAAATTTGGTGCTTATGGTTGTGTACACATGTCCCTTTAGGTTTATAAATAATGAAGTATTATTTTGTCAAGTCAAACAACCAAGTAACAAAATAAATTATATTTATGACAAAAAACCACAACAGAAATATAACTAATTTATAAATGCTGTGATTTGGAACCTTAAAAAACACCAGAGTAAAGACTTCTTCAAGTTGCTGTACTACACACTTAGAATTCACCTTAATGAATAAAGCAGCTTTAGAGTTAAAAATCCATCAATAAGAGTAACTTGGCCTTTAAATGCTGTATCATGTTCTCAATAACCCATATCATAATCATGTGTAAAAGGAAAATAATACATTACATATAAAAAGGAAAATATATTCCACCTCACTGGTACTGATACCTAAATACAATTTCCTGTATGAGCACAGGATTACTGTACAAAAGTGAAACTTAGAGATGAAATATTGCCCACACATATAACACGTGAAAAAGAAAAAAGGAAAGAAGAAAAATGAAAGAAAAGAAAGAAGAGGAAAGAATAGGAAACTAAGAAGAAAAAAAATCTACAAAAAATATGTAAAACATCCTTGTGCCATAACCTCAATGTACCTTGAACCCTAACATGCACATATTTAATATTACTTTAGTGCATGTAATTCTGTTACAAGAACATACAGATGAAGAAACAAACTGTAGGCCTAAAAGAGTGAGAACAAACTAAACTTTTGTTTTTAAATATACGTGACATGGTTTCAGGATTTTAATTCCAGATTCTAAGTCATCATACTCCAAAAGCATAATGCCAATGGAAGAGGAAAGTTATAAATCATATAAAAAACAGAGTAAATAACTTGTTTTTCACTGGTACTGAACTATATACATTTTCCTGTATAAGCAGTGAGGATATACTGTGGGATGGTGTGTCATTTCCTGTTAACAACTGTGGAAATATCTAAAAGATAAGTCCAGGAAAAAAGAGAAAAGAAAGATAAAACAAATCTTTGGTACTATTTAAAATTCATTTACACATCTCCACCATATATTACTGACCAATGACAATGTAAGCAGTTGCATTATAAGATGATTAAATAAAACAAGAAAAAAATATATGCATTTAACAACACAAAAAAATATTAAACTGTCAAACAAGATACGAAAATCTATAGTAGTTTAATATTTTCCTCTATTACCGTATACAATGTGTATATCAGTATACAGATAATTCAGTGGTACTTGTAAATACTAGTATCTTATTTATTTTAACATGAAGAAATTGTTTAGTCTTTTTTTTTTGTCTCCTTAAAAAATCATTGCTCCTTCTGAATGGATCTAAAACATAAAATATCTTTACATTGTATACATTCTAATAACACTCTCCATATCTATATGGCACATAAATAACTTAACTGTTCATTGCAATGTTTAACATTAAATAAATACCTACAATACACAGTAAAGATCATATAGAAAGAGTAATTCAATTTACAATATTTTAAATCTGCAAACCCATCATACTAATGCACACTTTTAACTGGAAAAGGATACAAATATTGGTCTTCTTCTGAACATATACTATGCTACTTCTGAACCTTCTGGTGTTTAACAAGTTTCATAAAAAGCAAACATTTCAACAACAGAAAGTTACCCGGTCTAAAAGAATAAATTTACATTACTATCTGTAAATTTCAATAGCAAATAAACTAGAGACTAATTAATGCTTAACAAAATAAAATTTATCTAAACTGAATTACTGCCTCTCCAATAAAAAATAAAAATAAAAGTACATCAACCTGGAGATACATTACTATTACAGTGACAATTTCATATATCACAGGTCTTTGTATTGTTAATGGGGTATGATGGACTACTGTTTCACAATGCTTGTGTGAGTGAAACTTGTAAGAAAAATTCAAGCTTGCAGAAATAAACTGCTGGATCAACGTAGGATATTTAATTGCCCCCTGTTGGTGCCATAGATGAGCCCCTGGCCTGGGTATGGGAGCCATCGGATGCAATTCAAAGAGGTGTGCCGGTGATCACTCATGACTTCTATATCCCTCAGAAACTGTAGGTGTCCTGCTTGTCCTCGGCCATAAAACATAGGATTGTCACATAACTTGTATATTTGTGCGACAACCTAGGGAAAGATAATACAAACCATTTTAAGAAAATCATAAATCATCTAGCTATCTCCTACCTTCCTTGTATAAGAATGTTTTATATCTGTATATATATGGTATATGGTTGCTGATTCCCCTATATCTATATAGGTGTATTCCCTACTCCTACTTTCCCATTGTCAATCTCTCAACAAAGCTAAGTGAACCTAATTAATTCAAATCAACACAACATTGCCCTCAGGACATTGACTTTGAATGAACAATCATAAAACTTTTTTCAAATACTACCTTCAATTTTCTTCTGAAAGAGAAACTGTTTGACTTATAAAATTCCAATTGACGTCTATCCTGGACAATTGTCAATTTTGGAAGGCAGAAAAGAAGGCCCATTTCTGAACCTTACCTCAAAGTTGTCTCTATCATTTGCCTGCACTCTTCTACTGAGGATGTTAAAATAAGCCAACTGTCCAGATAGAGAAGAATGTTGATTCCCAGGGAAGTCAACCAGGTATGAATGGGACAAATGGTAGAACTTGGGATCTGTATAACTGTGACTTTAATGAAAAGCTAGATACTTCCTGAACCTTGGATATATTGGGATATCCCAACACATCCTTTAGGTCTATTGAAGCCATAAATGCTCCTTGTTATAGAGCCAGCCAAACATGGGCGGAAGTTGTTATATGGAAGTGGTAGTTGACTATAAACAGACATCTAGTACTAATCAAGTTTCAACTAATTCTCTTTATTGAACTCTAAAAACATGGTTCAGAAAACTCTTCCTTTCTTCTGATTCGTCCACAACATTTTTTAATTAATTGTTTTGCAGGAAGTACTTTGTGTGTGCCAACTTGAGTAGCATAAATCATTCTACACCCCCATAACATTTATCATAAAATAAAACATTGCTCCATAGTAAAACTCTTCTATCTAAAACAAGTACAACCACTGTCGAATTAAAGTAAACATATTGCAAATTAACTTACCTGCTTGGTGTTATGATGTGAAACAAATCGTGGTGTGTGTGATGCAAATCCAACGACTAAATGCCGTGCCACTGGAGAGAGGCTGACACAGATGGTATTGGGTGCAAAAATGTAGCTATAGAGAAGTTGCCCACGTGACTTTTCTCTCAAGCTGTAAACACCTGTTGTAAATGAAGTTGCTGTAATATTTATTATAAAGGAAAGAATACAATTTCATTTTTTATAAAAAATAAAAAAATTATGTTACATCTGGGTCAAGGGCCAGGTGACGTGAACATCCGGTCATCAGGCAAAACGGCCGAGGGATGGGTGACACAAAACCTGTTGTCACGAGTGAAAGAGAGGGCGATGGAAAACTCACCATGAGTGCACAAACCTCTTAGAGTGTGATTTGACTCATTTGGCGCTTACAAAGAGGCTTTAGCATTATTCCCATTGATAAACGAAAGTAGAATATAATGTACATAAGCAGTGACTGGAAGAGCGCTGGCTCTGGGGGAGGCCCATTTCCATGCTGCACACCGTATTTTTGGCCACTGTGTGTGTGTGCGTGTTTTATTACAAAAATTGAAAATAACAAAAAAATAAAATATATGACAAATAAACCAAATGTTCCTTACTTTTTCTCTTTTTTTCGCATGGAGTTATTTACTACATAGAGAGATGATTTGGAATATGTTCAGGCAAATTAAATAAAATAGCAAATCAAAAGACAATATGGACTGGAAAATGGCAAAGGCTAAAAAAGTTTATGCAAAATAACTTTGCAAAGGGGAGGCACGGGCTTGTGCTGCTCATGGGTGTTTGCGCGCACCCGCCCATAAACCCAGGATGTTGGCTACTTGTGTAACCCACTGTCCATATTTCTGGGACATGATTTCCACGATACAATGGATTCAACAGTTTAATTAGCAATAAGGCTAAATAAGTCTGCAAAAGCAGGTATGGCTGGGTAGAGTGAATGAACAACTATGGCCTAGTGACCAAAGGGGATTTATACAAAATATTTACATTATATCAGCATTAAATTAAGGGCCGTTGCACTGAATTTTCTATGAATATTTTCAAAAATACTTGAAAATTTGAAAAAAAAAAAAAAAAATCTGTAATCTAGTAGGCTTTGGTAATCCTGTGACATA